AACAACAACAACAATGAGAAACTGATGGTTGGGGAGAGTAGATACATAATTTGAGAAGGAAAATCTTTGGGAAGTTTCAGTATGTGAAAGAGTTGCTCTTACACATTATCCATCATGGAATGGTATATGTACAAAGATTAAAACATGGACCTATGGAGGCGATCCTATCTGATTGCTTATATTGTGAGGATGAAGTATGTAGCAAGAGCAGAGAATGAAGTAATGAGGGCTTTGCTCTAATCGCACTAAGAAACTTAAGTGGAGGGCCAGAGTGAAGAGACAATTAAGGTTGCCTAAGTTAGAATTTGGTCAGATGAGTAGAATGGAGGGGAAATGGAGCTATGGAATTGAGTGTGGTTGTGGGCAAATGAATTTATGAGTACATTGAAATCTGGATAATGAGTGAAATGTGCATATGAAAGTGATGATGTATAATAACAAAGTTGCACTTCTTTTAGATTGGCGAGTAAAAAGAAGGTAAAGGTGGATATTACAGTAGATGAGCTCGAATAAAAGGCGTGAAAAAAGATGTCAGACAGGATAGAGTTCTGGAAGTCTTTGAGAGAAGGTGGAAGTTATGGGAAGATAAGAGGACTGCTTTTGTGCTTACAGGAGATGTGGTGACTGAGAGGGTTAACTCCTCCTATGTTATCTCTACAAAGTTTTCAGGGATAAGGTCTCACTTGGAACACTATTGTTCTCTCTCATGGTCTGCAATGGATGGTGGAAATGGAAAATATAGAGAATAAACATTTACTTGATATCCAAATGATTGCTTAGATCACCTTTGTCATATTATCTTACCAATAAAAGCTGTTGTCCTATGGCTCCAATATTAACAACATTTCATCTCACTACAAAGAGCAATCAATAGTTAATTTCCTAACATTTATTGAAAATTATGTGAAACCTTGAAGAGGAGAACGATAACAACTTAAGGTACAGTGATTACTACCCTTAAAATATTTTAATTTACTCCTAAAGCCAGTAAGATATGCCTGTAGTAGTGCTGTGGTTCCCATACTTTTTATGATAAATTATAAAATAATTTCTTGCATATCTTCTGATATTCTTGGCATCCATGTGAGTGTAATAACTGCTATTGTTTATAGCTATGTTGTGGTACAGCATCCTGGTGTGCCTGCAAGGGTAGAAATTTCCTCATCCGCCATATTTATCAGCAGCTAATGGTTTGTAGCTGAATTCCTCTCTGGGCATTTCCCTGTGCTTTAAGGAATTGCCTTGCCCAAGATTATGCTCATCCCAGTGGATTCCCCACATCCAGAATTGGTCATTGCAGATGCAAATGCCTGACTCTTTTATCAGAAGCTTGTTGATCTCTGAAGGACCATTCCAGCTCCAGAGCTGCAGGATGCTTGGGGAGAGTAGACATATAATTCACTGAGTCCTTATTGCAACTTCCACCCACCCCACCCACTGCCATTGAATTGATTTCAACTCATAGCAGCCTTGTAGGACAGAGTAGAACTGCTCCACAGAGTTTCCATGACTATCAATCTTTACAGAAGAAGATTCCCTCATCTTTCTCCCTCAGAGTGGCTGGTAGGTTTGAATCACTGACTATTTTTTGTATAGCAAGGAAATGCCTTAGCCAGTGCACTACCAGAGCTCCTCAGTGCAACTTCATCACTCTTCAATTTTTGCCCGATCTTGCTTCCCATTCTCTTTTATAGGTATTGTTCCTGAGAATACTGCAATAACTCTTTCTGCATACATTCTTTTTTTCTCTGAATCTGTTTTCCTGGAATCCAACCATAGATGTCAATATAGATGTAATAAAACTGAAGTTGGCAAGGACTATGTTTTGACCTTGGGACATAAACGCTGGCCAGTTGATTCCAAAAGTTAAAATATTCTACCAGAAACAGCCTCTCCGTCGTATGGTGAACCATCAGATAGGCCCATGTATACATGTTTAAGATACCAAGATAACAAGCAATACATCTCATTTTAAATAATCTGTCTTAATAAAAGTAACAATCTTAAGTAATGAGAAATAAACTTAATAAGAAAATGGATGTTCTTCTACATAATAGGATGATATTTAACGTGGTTTCACAGTATGCTTTTCTGTAAGAGCTTTTTTAGAGCTTCTTTCACATCCTTATTTTTCAAACTGTAGATCAGGGGATTCAACATAGGGATCACCATTGTATAAAAAACAGAAACAACCTTGTCCTGCTCCATTGAGTAGCTAGATGATGGGCGCAAGTACATGAAAAGAATTGTTCCAAAGAATATGGTGACAGCAGTGAGGTGGGAGGCACAGGTGGAGAAGGCTTTGTGCCTGCCCTCTACTGAAGGCATTCTCAAGATGGCAATGAGGATGCAGAGGTAGGAAATAAGAACAATCACAACACAACTGATGACATTAAAACTGGAAAAGGCCATGATCACAATGCCATTGATGTGGGTGTCAGAGCAAGAGATTTTAAGCAGGGGTGGAGTGTCACAGTAGAAATGGTTGATCCTATTAGATCCACAAAAGGACAATCTAAAAGTCATCCCTGTGTGGATGGCTGCATTCCCAAAGCCTGCAAGGAATGAGGTAGTCACAAGTAAGAAGCAAATTCTCCCAGACATGAGAACTGGGTATAGCAAGGGGTTCCAAATGGCTGCGTAGTGGTCATATGCCATCATGGCTAAGAGGAAGCACTCAGTCCCTAGGAAGGAGCCAAAGAAGTAAAATTGGGCAGCACATCCATTGAAAGAAATGGCCTTATTCTCAGCCACAAGGTTTACTAGCATCTTGGGAGTCACAGAAGAAGAGTAGGAGGCATCAACAAAGGAAAGACTGCTGAGGAAGAAGTACATGGGGATGTGGAGACAAGGATCAATCTTAATCAACATGATCATCCCCAAATTGCCTACCATAGTAGCCATATAAATTGACAGAAACAATACGAAAAGGATAATTTGTAGAGCTGGGTTGTCTGAGAGTCCTAAGAGAATAAATTCTGTCATTTCTGTTTCATTCCCACCTTGGACCTTTTTCATATTTCTTGTCCTTTGAGCTGGGGTAAAAAAGAAAAGAGAACATGACATTTGGTGGGATTACCAAGTAATGAATCTACAAACATCTTTTACTGAAGTATACACATATGTACCCTAACAGAAGAGTGCAAAATGAAAAGTATAGTAAAAAATGTGCTCAACTTGATGTCAGGTCCAAAGAACTACATCTGCCTACTATGTATGCTGCCTACTAACTAAATGTTCCTGAGTAAGTAATTTAGTAATCCTTAACCACAACCTAAGATCATTTGTGTCATTCACCATTTATTGAGTAATAATAGGTAACAACAGTTAAGATGCAACTCTATTATTTATGACAAATAAATTAATATTTGAGCGCACTTTGTAGATACAATTTCTGAAGTAATTTGTTGCAATTAATTCATGTTACTGAATATTCTTCTCTGGTAATAATGAAATGCATACGAAATATAAAAAGTCAGCAAAAGTAATTAACAATATCAAGAAAAAGGCCTAAATCTCTAGGGGGAGGGATGTTAAAAATTCATAAAACTGATGACCAAGGAAAAATGCA